ATAGATATATATATATATATATATAGATATATATATATATTTATATGGTATATGGTATATGTGAAAGAGGAGAGATAAAGATAGCGAATACAGGAAGTATGAACTTCTGAGCATAGGTGTCACGTCTGTCTCCCTGTCTCGCTCAGCTGCCCAGTAGTGTGAATTGAAATGACAAAATAGCATTCTCAATCTGAAGGTTCTTTTCGGCTACATCAAGGTTAGATTATGTTTCGGATGAGCAGATCCCATGTGAAGTGTGTGTGTGTGTGTGTGTGTGTGTGTGTGAGTGAGCGTGCGTGCGCCGCCTACCTTCCTCAAAAGTGTCATTATTTCCATGATGTCGTTAGTCATTGTTTTCTTCAGCTTTCTTATGACATTGTAAATAGATAAGTAAATGCTGAATGGGTGAGTGATTTGCTAAGCAGAGCACGAATGATTTGAAGCTGCATTTAGTCCAATTTTCTAATTACAAAACAAAACCATACAAAACTGAGGTCTACAGCATATTCGTAAATGCACTTGGTCATCATTTTGCAACACTGCTAAACCTCTTTCTTTTATTTTCTCAACTTTTAATCTCTTCCTGCAATCATTTAGTCCGGATGCATATCCCAGCATGCCGTGTGGGTCGGAAGGCACAGTAGTCACCAGTCCATTACAGATTTTGAAACAAATCTGTCAAAGTCATGGCATGGTGTGCCCCCATTGCATGTCTACCAATGTAAACAGCAAAAAACACACTCCACATAGAAGATTGAACCCTCGCCATTTTTACTGTGAGAAAACACAGCTAACCAGTAAGCGCCACTAAATTCAGCGAATGCTGAAAGGCGTTCATTTGAGAGTAAACATACCTGAGCCTGTGCTCCCCGGTTCACCCGGACAGGTAGCGGTGTTGTTGCACATGCGAGTTTCCCGCAGGGCTCCGCTGCACAGCGTCCCATAGGGAGAGGAAACACATGATCGCGTCCTCACTTGCCAGCCTTGCCCACATGTGAGAGAACACACACTCCACTGTGACCACTCCTCTGCCGCAGGGTCACCTGAAGAGCAAGACGGAGGTGGACAGAAACAGGGTAATTCTCAATGATTCCAGTTTCATGACGCTAATGTTTCTATGAGTCAGGTAGAACAAAAAAAGTCCAAGATAAAGGTGTTATTAGTTGTAACCATATAGGCTCAGTTTGAACTTTAAAGGTTGGGAGATCACAAAAAATAAATCTTTATTAAAAGAAGGTTAATGTGTGTAACAGAGGCTTCTTTTAAATGAAAATACTGATCAGGGTATCAACAGGTGCATTTTCATATCCCAACTAATATGCCCAATGATGATAAATTGTGAGAATTAGGCCTACCGTAGAAACCGGGCTCGCTCAAACCACAAAAACACGACAGTAAACTAGATACAGAACAGATACAGAAATTAGCATTTATCCAGAGATAAACCTTGCGAGCTCTAAGGCAATAGCGATTGTCAGCGTAACCTACAGGCTATAAATGCTGTGTGTAGCCTACATTAGGGACAGTGTTAAGAATATGGATGCCAGCTAAGGGACACACACTAAGGAGGTCCTGTCACTCTCTCATGTCATCATGAGCGGGAATCAAAGCTCGTCTAGAAGCAAATAGAATAGAATAGAGCAACAGTTTTGCTCTATTGATTCCTGTTAACAAGTCCTGCTTTTTCTTTGCCCTTTATCAAACGAAATGAAATAGAAATAATTGTGGATGATTGTGACACCATTGCAATATCACTACAATAAAATGACACAAACAAAATTGTAATCCATACAATTGTCAAGAGAAAAGCCCGGGACTTTCTGAGAGATGATGAGAAGGCTTTGTGGTTACAATAATCATCAAGTCTTTCTGTAGTTTTATGGACTTTTTCCACCCTGGGGTGAAGTTGAGAGTGCACAAGATGATGATTTGTTTAATAGATGAGGGCTTCGCTTATATTGTTCTGTGCTTGATTTTTGCAGTGTATCGTTTTGACACGGCCTGGCTTGTGATGCTATATCAATACCCAATATATGACACCCCTGCATACTATATTGGTATGGGTGATATGTGATTTGATTCAAGCCACTTAATGTGAATACACCTTGATTGAATATTCATAAGGGTGATGATCCTGTTAGAGATTCAACAATATTAATATTCATGGGATTATGGTAACACATACTTAAGGGGCTGTATGCCAAAAAAGGATATTAATACAGTGGCAGAGATTGGGTGTTCAGACAATTTTGTGTTTTTTTTTTTAGTTCTCCAGGCAGCTGAGGAGAGAGTCTCATTGATCCCTCCGAGATATGCCCTTGAAAGCGAAAACCAAGTGTTAAGTCATCTCGCTCTTTCTAAATTGTTTATGAGCGCTGTGTCCTTTGATAGAGGCGTCATCACATGGCAAAGGAGGAAATCAAATGAATTGCATGTCCGTTAATCGCATTACATCTTCATTAACATGCCGTGAGTCAGGGCTTAAGCTCATCACACATGCCTGGAGGAATGGAAGAATGGGGAGAAGGGAGGAGGGGGTGAGTGAGGGTGGGGAGGCAGAGGGAATGGACAAGACAGAGCCAGGGGTTTCCGTTGCGGTAGGGAGTCTCTCCTCCATGCATTGGTAGTATGGAAACATGTGTGTGTGTGTGTGTGTATGCACAAATTACCTATCCTTGTGTGGTTGTAGCAGCCAACATGTTATGTCATGTATGTATAAGGCCATTCATGTGACATCCTTCCTGTTTCATGTCATGAATAATGCCTTTTCTCTTTTCCAATGGTATTAATTATGTAAAGTTTTAAAGTCACATACACACACACACACACACACTCGTAGGTACACACTTTTAACATGTCCACGCTTGTGTATGGCCAACTAGAGCTGTCCTGGAGTTGAGCCATGCTCCAGAAGGTAAATGTAGAATGATTGTCTGAAGGAACTCTTTATTTTTAGTTACACATACTGCCTGTAAACGTCAGGTTGGTGACTTCTGTTCCAGGCCGTGAACTCATGCACACATCACATTACTCACCAGTTTGTGCCTGAAACACACCTGGCTGGTCAGCTGATCGAGGTCTCTGGGTCTTCACCTTCAGATCGTCATCATCATATTGGTCTGAAATCGACGAAAGACAGAGATTTGTCTTGTTTTCCATACATTTTGAATTGGACAGTTGAATATATGCATTCCAGTATGAAGCCAAATGTGTAAGATGTCTAGTTTGTTTATTACATGCACTTTTGCCATGGTATACAGAAACTTGGTTTTAAAGCTGTAGTAAATAAGTCCTCATCAGCATCAACACCCGCTTTGCACATTCAGGGGAGTAAAAAAAAAAACTGCACGTTTTTTAAGTACATCCAAAACACGACTCTGGAAAATAAAAATACAAACGCCTCCAATTCCTTGGCTTGCTCCTTGTAGCAGAATATTTAAAGAGCACGCCGATACATTTCAGCACACAACGTGCAGAAACAGATAACAGAATGTGAAGTCTGCAGTATAATCTCAGAAAATCAGGTGGAAGTCTATTCTGCCATTAGCTTAAAGTCGAAAAATAAATTGTCAATAAGAATATATCTACTAAAATGCAATGTGAATTACATAAGCCAAGTAAGTAACCTATTTTTTTTTTTGCTTGGTTATGAAACTGTACATATATATATATATATATATATATATATATATAACAAGGAGCTACACATGTAAAAGCCTGCATCTGATAAACCAGAGGGTAAATACGAAGTGGAACACCTTGAATAAATGGTGAGCATTAGTTGAAATTGAACAATTGCCTAGAGAGAAAGTACAGGGAAAGCAAAAGCATGCAACCTATCTAAGTCGTTTTTTTTTATCTCAATTGGTACAAACATATGGAGGCATGAGCGCAGTCTGTTCTGAATCTGTGCAAAAAAACAATCTTTGATTTAGCAGATCCTTTTCACTTGGGTACTTCTTGCCCATGGGAATCTTTGCAGGGGTTGCATTCCTCCAAAGCAGATGAGACAAACAGCGTATCTAAGGTACATTATCTACATGAAATGTGCTTGTGTGCTTGTGTGTGTTTATTAGATTACAGAGTGCAAAAGTGATTGATACTGAAATTTCCTCGCATTAGCATCTATCAAGGAGTTGACCTGAGGAAGAACAAAAACATATGCATGCACAGCACATCCTCCCCTGCGTCCCAATACACACTAGCATGAATGCCGTGGAATTGTACTAAAGGTCTGTCATGCTTGCTCAATGGCCATTGAAAACAGTCCTCTAATTTGGCCTTTTACATAAACAACTCCTTGTATATTAGTTGACTGCTAAACCCTCCTCCAAACAGCAATTATCCAATCATTGCTTAGCTACCATAACTAGGTACAGAGGTATCCAGATGCTGAAGCTGTGGGCATGGGGCAATAGCATGAGGGCAGTGTCTTTTTTGTGTTTTTTTCTGCTCTTACATACTGTACGTTACATGGCGCTTTACTCTCGGTTTTATCACATAGTGTTATATATTGTATTATCATGTTTGTAGCAATCATGTGCATATTTAAGACCCCTTTAAAGAGCTCTGAACAATGAAAAGTCAGCTGGAGAGAGTTTTCAAACAGTTTGAAAGTGCATTAGCATAAATAAACACCAAGATGCTACAGCTGATCAAATCTGCTTGACAGTCATCATTTCAGCAGACAAATGCCACGGTACTGGGCTGCAATGAGAAGAATGCTGACTTCTCCTCATCCTTTTCAAATTCCTTTCCGCTGTTCTTGTTTTTGGTGCCACAAAGCTAGCAGCCTATGTTCTTAGCAAAACATGAGCTGCTAACCCAACTGATCCACTGAAGTGAGTTTGGTATAGGTTTAAGTTCTGACTGCCTACTGAAAAGATTCGTGACTAACAGTCAGTGGGAAATCATTGGCAAACAAGATGCCACGAACTTCAGCAAGACGACAAAGCGACAGAGGAAGTGGCGGTCCCAATCTGGGAGTTTCTGAATCATTTTCTGGCAGAATTGGGCCTGAATTAAGCCTTGTGAGTGGGTCTATATACTCTTCGCTTCTGTGCTTCTGAGACACAGAGGTCAGTGAAGCAGGACAGAGTAATGCCTCACATAAAATGACCAGTGAGGATTACATTTCTCTCCTTATCTGTATCTCTTTCTCTGTGTTTCTCTCTTTGTCCCTCACTCTACGTCACAAAAGAGGATTCAGATGGACACCGGTGCAGAGTCCTTCACAATCGAAGGTAAAGATCAATATGGATAAACCCTTTGAGAGTACTGACCTTTACAAACCCCACTATATTGTTTAATGTTGTGGACCGCACTTTAATGGAAACATCATCGCACACTTCATCAAATCTTCCTGCACTCTCTCATCCCTACCTTTTTTCCACCCATTTCAGCTTTTTCTTCATTTTCAGGGGAATCTATTTTCCATCTATAGCTGGCAATATCACTTCCAATCGTGAGCAGGGTCGATAATGCTACGACCGGTTGGGAGCAGAGGTTTGATATTTTACTTGTAGTAGTGCTGATGCTTTAGTGTCATCTGACAGAAGTGTCAGTGAAGTGAAAACGCCTTTTAGAATCTTGCCCTGGCAAATGAAGAGATCACTTTTGCTTTAGTAGCAATGCAGTGCATGAACACTATGAAATCATAGGTCGTCATCAATATTTGATGTAGGATGCTGAGTCTACACAGTCAAGGGTCTGCTAAAAGCATTTTCTCTGAACCTATTAAGGTTATACACTTAGTGTTATGAGAACAAAAATAAAACTATGGAAAACAAATAGAGTGCAAAAACCGTTTTTTCAACCCATTTCAGCTCTCTCCTGTCTATGGGAATAAATTAAAGTCAATAATCTTGTGATTGACCGCTGCAAATGTTGAACTTTGATAGTTTCCTTAGTAGTGTACAATGGAACTATTGACTTTCATAGTGAAATGTACAGGAACTTATCAAGGCTATTTAATCATAAACATTGCAATGGACTTAGTGACATGTTAAGAGTTAATGGTTATGGGTATTACTGTGTTTAGAGACGTTTGTTCAGTGAAAGAGCAAATGATGAAACATTCTGTTAGGTGCAACCAGGCCGTTGTCCCTGTTTTTAGTCTTACGTTAACTCTTTCACAGTTTTTTTAGTCAGTGAAAGTTAATTTAAACCCATTCGTCTTAAAATGTCCTATTCAGCGTATGGTTGTGCTTAGCTCCAACCTCGTGTGTCACTTCTGGTTACAAACAAAAGATGAACCAAAAACCAAGATGGCCAAAAGGCAGAAACCGAGGGTTTGAAACTGTATTCCATGGTTCAGATCTAATAATTTGTAGTTTTGGTGTTGGCTACCGCCTATGTACTGTTCACTGATAAAGTGTTTACAAAGCCATGTTACCTCTCACAATAGTACACATTAAGTGATAATCTGTGACATTTACTTTTAAAGAAATTATTATTTGAGGATAACACTTGATTTGTTTGCCTTGTCAGAACCCAACTGCTAACCATAAATCAATGCTTCTCAAACCGTTTTAACCATCTCTTTGCTCAGGGCTATTTTCTCTACTTGTTCCCAGCAAAGTGTTGATAAAGTAGCATGTTGAAGGAAAAAGTCCCATGCATAACCGGCTGAGCGCTATCACTCAGCAGGAAGAGGCTTTTGTCAGCTTCCTCAACTCGATGCACAAAAGCTGATGAGATGAACACAGCATATTGGACATCTAAATGCACACATCAGCTGTCACACCAAAGCTCAAATGTACCTTGATGTGGCACAGACACACACTGAGACACACGCACACATACACAATAAGTGGTAAATATGGCTGAGAAATAAACGTCAGGCAGTAAAGCAGTTTTGAGCCCATTCAAAGCAGCAGGCTGGGGATTGGAGCAGAGCCAGTTAGACCCACAGGCTCCTTTGTCAGACTGAGCCGGGATTTAAGCCTGCTGTGAAGACTGTATGTATATGCGTGTGTATGTGTGTGTGTGTGTGTGTGTCTGTTTGACAGAGGATTGCATATGGTAATATGGTAAAACAGCTGTATTAAGTATCTGGCATGCACAAAACAGTGGCGCAAAAATGTTTTTTGTTGACTACTGTCAGCTCTTTCAGTGCAGCGTATATGATTGAATGCACCCTCTTAAAAATGCACACTCCCAAACACACACACACACAGAGCTATTTCTCAGCCGTATATCAAATCTGAGCTTATAGCTCTCTGGTGCTGTCGATTTACTCCAGGGTCCATCTGGGAGAGCCCAAACTGATAGAAGCGTACCATAATGGACTTTTTATAAGCTACTGGACAGACAGACCACTCCATCTCTCTCTCTCTCTGTGTCTTTCTCTCTCTCCCTTTCTTGCCATTTTCTCACTCAGCAGAAGATATGAAGAGAGAAGTTGAATCAGGTTAGTGCAGGACAGCATCTGCCTGACTATGGGGCCTCAAGGTCATTTGTGTGCCTTCAAAATGGATTCAGAATCTAGTTTTCTCAGCCCCACAGGCTGACTGTTTGTTTCACACCTGCACGCGCACACACACACACACACACACACACACACAGATCAACACAAGCCCTTGTATACATCCAAACTGCCAAATTGGCTTTGTTTCATTTCACTTTCATTCTCAATCTCAAATTGCCCTTTTTCCCCCATTTTTCTTTCTCTTATTAGATATTTTCAAACCTCCTAAGTCCCACACCGCACAGTCATTCGGCCTATTGTTCTGCCCTCCACCCCCTCACCCTCTGTCTTCTATTTCAGCCCGCCTTTCTCTCAGTTCCATAACGAGATGAGAATTTTGATGGATTTACAGTCCAGCAAAGCTACAATGAAAGAGCAATCAATGCAGGGATGGCCAGAACAATTAAATCAAAGCATGGGCATGCAAGATTATTGCGCAATCAGCCAGTGTAGCCAGTGTAGCAGTGTTTACAACATAGCTAGAAGCATGTTAAATGGATCGATGTGAGATAAGCTTGAGCCCCTTGTGAACTTGTTGTAAAGCCAATGTTAGTGCACTTCATATCTCTGCCTCAGTCTGACGCACATTGTTCAAAGTTACCCCAGTTTCCTGGCAGAAAAACTTGTGTCCTGATTTAGACATCTTATTTT